TAGATATTCAAGTTTCTCAGTAATCAATTTAATTAGTCATGGACACAAAAACATTTAATGAACTCAGGTCTATATTAAATGTCCACCCAAGCTGACGCAGGGTTACCCTCGGGGTAACGTGTCTTTGACCAGTGTTCTCTTCTCAAATTCCCTCCCTCAATCTCCTAAATCCCACCTACTCTTAACCGCCCAGTTCAATTGCTAGCACCTCCATGTGGTTCCCCACACCCCACTAATCACCCTGCCCACAAACATGCACACTCACACACACACCCTTTCTCCTTTTGCTTTTAATGTACTTTGTACACAGCACTCTTGACTTTCTTTGCACCTTATAGTTACTTGTGGACATGGACAAATCTGAACCACGAGACCAGCTTCATGAGAACAGAGGCTTCTGTCTTCCACACATTCACGTCTGCTCTTTGGAGACGCTGTGCACAACAGGGGTTCGTGCTTGGTTGCTATTTCGAATGTAGCATCCATGAGTACTTCTAGGGGTTAGGATCAATTACTAGATCTGGATCTTTATCTTCAGTTAAACTAAAATTAATGTTAATATTCAATTTGAGTCCCTAATACTGTGACACGTTCTAATTCGAAGTTGAGTAAAGCCAGCCAAGCACACTTTTACTATTTTGGATATTTTAGCCTATTAGTGTTTTGCAAATGATCACTCCATATATTATGTTTAGAGAAAGTAAAAACATTCAAATTCCTCCAATACCCTAACTATTCAGAAAGACACTGTTTTAATGTATATAACTTTTATTTTGCCTCAGAAAGGATTTGGACAACTTAATGAATATAAAAGCATCTTAAGATTCACAAAACTAAATGGAACTGATGTCAGAAGTGAAACTTACACAAACTAACTAATAATCGATCTGAAAGAGGAAAAGCAGAGTCTCTCTGAAGGGCAGAGCAGGTTCATTTTTGCGAGTTGTAACCGGTTCCTAAAAATGACAGCAAGTTAGCTGGACACCTGCTTGGGGGCTCTCTCAGCACACAGGGCGCTGCAGCCCGGCCGCAGGCCTGCCCATTCTCCCTCCTCGTGAGTTTCCAAGAGGCCTAAGAGCACATCTGACCATTTTCAAAGACCCAGGGCACAGCCAGCACAGCGCATGAATAACCACTAAAAATGTGAACAACTAAAATAATACTGCTATTTATTTTTATAAACCAGAATTCTGGAAATGTTCATTTTAGTCACCCTACATCAACAGGCTGCCTGTATGAATGATGTAGATGTTTTAAATCCTTCCAATCTGAAGAGAATTGAGCTGACTTTGGGGGATTTTCAGAGAACAAATACAAAAATCAGTAAAATAAATAAATAAGCCATTTGTTGCAATAACTGAAGCTATAACTGGTCTTCGAAGAATGAATTGTTACAATTTTAGCAATATTTCTGTTTTCTTCACTGTTCAAGGTTCCAATACGAGAGAAACAGGCATAAAGGATCAAAATCACTGCCTCGTTTTTTGTTATCTTCTACCCAACAAAAGATAAGAGGCATACTGTTCTCACACTGTATTAAAATTTCAACACACTTGTTTTTTAAATACACGCATTTTCTTATTTCTAGGTAACCCTTCGGACAGGAAACTATATGTTCCCACTACACTGTTTGAGCCTCTGATCGAGTAATAAGGTGGGGTTCTTGGCACTGTGTTTATTGTTTTTTTTAAACAGGGATATTAAATTGCTAACACTTTCCCTCAGATAAGATTATGATGATGTTAAGACTTAAAAATTGTTGTTGTCTATGCTACCAGTGAACTGTGATACCCTAGATCATTTACAAGCATAAGATGAGAAAGGATTCTAAGGAGAAAAACGCTGCTCGTGGACAGCAGCGGCCACACACGCCTCCTCCACTCAGAATTCTTCCACTCTCTGCTCCTCTGAGAACTGCTGACAGCAAACGAGTCACAACACTGATAAGCGCACAAGAGGAGAGAGGTGAGGGAGGATGTTCCCACATCCCAAAATTAGTGTATTAAATTCACGTAATAAAGAGGGAGTACAGAGATTTGAGAGTAATTGCATGTTGGAAGAAAAGGAATCGCCTTGTCACTCAGCCACGCTCTTGACTACTAAGTTGTGAATTCAGGACAATTATTTTTTAGAATGGCTTTCTACCAAAAAAAAAAAAGCTGACAGATACAATTAAATTAAAAGAAGCCAGTGAGTATACTTTGTAAAAAAAAAAAAAGGGAAAAGAATTTGACTTTATGTGTTAAATTTTCTGAAGTTCGAAAGAAGTAGAATCTTTGCATAAAAGAGCAGCAAGAACTATTCTTCTATTAGGGATGTGTCGCGAGAACTGAGTATGTATGTGAAACACGGGGTTGGCACAGTTCGTGATTTGTACATATGTGCTACTCACATCAACCCTGCCCTAATTAAAACTGAGCTTCTGATTTTAGAGAACAAACACTCTACAATCTGGCATTTGGACAACAAATATAAATCTCACACACCAACAGTTAATCCTATGGGTGAATTAAATCTTGACAGTGAAAGCAGAATTAAGTGACCTCCCTTCTATTTGGCTTCTCTTTAATTCAAATAAATGTGTGAGGACAACTCCCACTTGTTAAAAAAAAAAGTTGACGGTTATTAATCAGAGCTATAGAATGATGTAAGCATTCAATTACCCAAACATTGCAACTAGGCAATGAAAGCATATCTCCCTATAAAAATTATTCATCAAGGAATATTTGAAAGCTAACTAATCAGATGGTATCCTTCAAAAAAATTTTTGCACATTCGACTTCAATTTACATGCCTTTTGAAATTTTTACTCTCCACAACACTACTTGCGACTAACGCTTTGACGGAACCTCTTTTCACTCAAGAGAGCGAGTGTATATTAGACTGAGCACAGGAGCCCCCAAATGTGTATAAAGACCTACTCACCACACTGATCTTTCCCTTCAACTTTGTTTATTGATGTACTGAACATGAAAAAGTACAAAGAATCCAAACACAAAAGAAAACATGTACAGCCTCTTAAATACTCAACAGAATATATTTTCTATTCCAACAGATGTGAATTAAGTCATACTGTACAACTTCAAATAAATACCAGCCTTACATTTTATTAAGTGCTCTGATAAACACTGTAAAGTGAAGCACAATTTGCATGCCCTCTCATCAATGCCTCGGTTTGCTACAGTAGTATAGGAAAGAAGCATGTAGATGCTGTTTTCCCGTGAGGGAAACCTTATTTTTTTTTAAGTATATACATGTATTTTGTTTTTTAGCTTTTTAGTTTTTTTTTTTTAACGCAGAAGGTTAACTCTGACAATCTAAATGCACCTAAGGATATGAGAAAGTGCTAAGCCAATTGATTTCTGAATAGCATTGAGTGGGTCAGCATGGAAACTCGCTTATTCACTTTAGCACGCGCCTCACAGTATATGTACTGTACTATACTGAAAATTTTTATAACTACAAGTTTAAATAATAAAAAATAAAACTCAACGCAACTGCAAAGATAATGTACAACTATGTTATGCATAGCACATTGCCTGTTCTAAGGGGAAGCACGTGAGCATCTCAGTTTATACAAAAAGCAGGACGTAACTATATAGTTCTCAGTGCATCCTGATGAAGGCATATTGGCCTTCAGCTCTTTTGAAAATTTATTATAAGCTAGATGCTAATCAGAAAATATTTTGTATTTTTTAAAATTTCTTCCATACATGGTAAAGACTTATTTTATTATTTCCCCAAATAGTGGTTTAAGCATCATACAAAGTTAAATTTCAATAGCATACAGATATTTATGATTTTTGTATGAAAAATGTAAGGAAATTTGTTCAAAACCTATGGTTATACTCGTTTTTTTTTACCACAAACATATTTATAAACGAAAATGTAGCATCACCATAAACAGCTGAAGCTAGACTATCTACAGACAAAATCAGCAACAAATCTGATGCACTGTAAATTCAAGTCCTCAGGACAACAAAAGTGATTAAGCAAGACCTCAAGTAACAATGTTAATGCCATTTACAAAGGAAAAAACTGATACAAAAACATTCAAAACCTGAACATCACTTGGCATGTAAGGGAAAAAAAATCAAATTAGCTGAAAGGGTCATAAACACAAGGTCTTATTTACATTACACAAAGCTCAGGTGTTAGCCTTGAACATAACTTTCAAAATACCTTCAAATATATCCAGCTCAGATCACGCTTGCCGATCTGCTGCAGTACATATCATGTGCAACATCTTTTTTCCTTAAGACAAAACAATTCTTCAAACAATACTGCAAGTACATCACTAAACACCATGAGCTCTATCTGAAGGGATTTCTTTAGGAAGAACAGATTTTTTCCCCCATCTCTTGGTAATTTAAATTTCTTGCCTGCTCTTATATATTCTTTTGTAAATTTTTTTTATGTGTTTCAAAATCACAAATCAATGTGAGCCACCTAATAACCAGGATGATCAGACACTCCACTGGTGATTACAAAAACGAAACCAGCAGTGTTTGTTTCCCCCAGTGATTCTATTCCTTTCATACAAAGATCTCAAAAGTATTTTCTACATCATAAATCTTTCTAAATTTTCCAACCGCTGCAAATTTCCTGGTAAATTTTAAAAGCTCACTAGGTGTCATATGAAGAGATTTCTCAAAGTATTCAAGTCAAAATATTTGTTCCAGGACCAGTAAAAAGTTTCTCCAAATTTTCTTTTTTATAAAAATAGATGCTTTTTTTAAACCCACATCAAAGAGGCTCTTATCTCTTTGGCAAGGTACTGCTTTACGAAAAGTTCTCCAGTATTCTTACAATAAGCGTTTATAATGTAGCCCCCCCTTCCCCAACCCAAATCATAATTATAAAATAAATACTGTTTTAACTCCATAAATAAAAATGTAAACTTCAAAATACTTTTCTTAGACATAACAGCAATGCTTTAAATGTAAACAAAACACAAAGCTAATCAGAAAAAAAGAGAAAAAGGGGGGAAAAAGACATAACCAACTGAAGAATTACAACACAAAGCCTCAATATTTACTCACAGGTTCAAGGCAGTTATGTAAAAAGAAAAGAAATGTCTTCCCTTAGCTGAAACACTTTAAAAGGTCCACCTTCTTCAAAGAAGGCAATAGAATGCAATGTGACAGGTAAAAACCCTGTACCTCTTGTCCATATTCAAACATAAAAGATATTTAAGAAGTTTTAATTCAAATACTAGCAATAAAAAATCTCACATATTTCTTAAGATGCTAAGTAGTCGTTTTATCCCCATCTCAACACTGACTTACAAAGACATTTACTAATGTATAAAGTTTCTCTTAACTTGCCTTTGTTGTATAGTTTTCATATATAAATGGACTGAGGACAAGAGCGCATTAGGCTTTGTGCGTTTTGTTGGTCTTAAAGGAGACCTGCAGTACTCTGTCTCCCAGACGGTATCCATTGAGGCTAGCTATTGCCATGGCTGCCTCATCATAGTTTGTCATAGTCACAAATCCAAAACCTTTGCATTTATTGGTGTTAAAGTCACGGATGACCTTCACGTTGGTGACAGCTCCAAAAGGCCCAAACATTTGCCACAGGATACTCTCGTCTGCATCAGGAGCCAGGTTGTACACAAAGATACACCACCCTGTTCCTGGGTGCCCGGGGATATTAATTCCAGCCAGACTGGTCATTCCATCAATGGTCATTGGAGAAAACCTACTGAACAGAACAGGAAACAAGAACACATACACACAAACACACACGACAGAAACATGACGGTTACGGCAATGGACTGGCTTTCTTTCCCCTTTCCCATCCCTGAGTTTTACAGCCCCTCGCCCCCCACAGAGATGTATATAACTATGTATTTGATGATTCAATTGAAGTCTGTGTGTGGCTTGCAGTGACATGCTATACTATCAAGGCGTTAATAAGTTATGAAATGGTCATTATGTGCTGTACTGATTCTCCACAATAACAAAAAATATTACTTAGAACTGGCTTATGGATCTAAGCAGGATTAGGGGGAGCGGTGCAACACATATGTAAACATGCTGTAACGTCGCAATGCAATATAAAATAAACATGGATTTTTAAAGACCGCGTGGCATCCAGTGATAGAGAGATGTTCCTTGAGTCGACCGTGCTTCGAAAAGCAGCCTTTCATTAGGTTGTACATGCAAAAGAAAACCCAACACAAACTTATGAAAGGGGTCACTCCCCAAATCAAAGAAACCAATCACTGATAGGAAGGGGTTATGAGTATCGTGAACCTCTATCATTACCTCTTTACTCCATAAGCCATATTGAGCAGATTGTCCAACCTGCAAAACACACATTTAGCAAATTTCAGTTTTTAATTTTCCCCCTTGATGTCCAAGAAAGCTGGGCTTGTTACTGCCATCTTCCAAGGGGATATCTGTATGTTAGTTGTAATGTGAAGTCAAAAATTGGGGTTTTTCACAGAGAATGGGCACCTGATGCCGTAAGACACTAACTCTTCTGAGGAATACCAGTTTATCTCTACAAGGGTCAGTGTGACGCAGGGAAAATACTGGTGGTCATCCGAGGAAGCCTTTCGGCGAGGCGAGGTGGAGCTTCTGGAAGAGTTAACATCTGGGTCCTCACCTTTCCCCGGCAAGTCCTAAGTGCTACACATATACCCAAATGTCCTTAATACTATTTTAACTCTTGTAACTCTATTGGTTCCTGAGTACACTAAGGCACACAGTTTAAGTGACTTGCCCAAGACCACAGGACTAATTAAATAGTGGTACTCTGCAGTTCACAGAATTCCCTAAATTTCCCTTCAATCTCCCAACTCTGGAGGACTTCTATGTCTTAGAATCAAAGTAGGGCAACAGGTAGAAATAACCTTATACACAAACTCAGCTAAACCTCTCATTTATCCATGTGCTCTGCTAAGGTCCGGAGAAAGACAAACGGCTGGCTCCCCGCTCCAGTGAGCGACAAAGGGAGTTTAGACCTCAAGCCTGATGCTTATTTTAATTCAAGAAGGGTAGCCCTACTCGAAGTGTAAGAAGCCAGGTAGAAACAAACAGATCAACTTGACCTTCTCATACATTTTTTTAAAGTATTTGGGGTGGGCTGGTAGGTACTCTTTTCCTACTTCAAAAATAAAATTGATTTTATAGTACTTGATTGATCAGTTTCAGAGAGTTCCAAATCTCCGCACTACATACCAACGAACTGCATGTGTTTCGAGAGGGTGGGCATAACGTATACATTGCCCCTAGGACCACCATTAACTGCCGCAATGTTCGACACTCTCCAAGTAAGACCCAGGGGTCGGGAAACAATTTTTCTCCCTTTTAATCTGTATGTGAAAAGTGAGTTTGAAAATTCAATGCTTCAGCCTCATAATCTAACACCTGTGGCCTCAAGCAAAGCTACAGCACCCTTTCTGATTTTATAAAAGCCAAAAACACCTTCCAGGTCTTTCAGAACTGGGAAAAGAATCTCCGACACTCCCATCCCCAGTCACCCCTGGGACTTTGCGTGCTTTATAAAAATGTAAAGAAAGAACTGGGCTGACGTAATGCAAAGTGTAAGGGAACAGAACAAAGGATCCTGGTCTGTGTGCAAATCCTTCGTGTCCCACCGCCCTCCCAGGAGCAGGTTTACACTAAGCATCTCCTGACTGAATACAAGCACCGAGGTAACCAACATTATCTTTAACTGCTTAATCCAGAATAAAAGCTATCAGGAGAGCCGGCTGGGGAGACTGTTAGCACATGCGTGCTCAGTCTACACAGGGAGGGGGCTTTGTTTCCTACAGAGGTGATGACTATAGTCAGAGATGCCACGTCTTTATATTCCTAAGTAAAGGCCACAAAGAGTGCAAATAAAGATGTACACAAATTATAAGACCAACCATAAATAAGACGCAGATAGTTTCATAAAACTGTTGGAACGATCAATACAGAATGCATTTGGCATATGACACCTGTAGAACAGAACAGCAAATTGAGATACTGAAGTCTCCTTCCAACACGCTGACAGGTTCAGAGGCAGAGGCAACCTTGTTAATACTCCAAAATAAAGTTACACGACCTCTGCTCATTAATTTGGACTGGGGGGGGGCGGGAATGACAGACTCTGCCTCCAGAAGCTTAGACACCAACCACAGTACAGAGATAAATCTCCTAAGCAAGTTTTCACTATTTTCAAGAGAAGGTGGAAACCTTCTATTCTAAGAAACAACTCAAACTGTGACGAGACTCTGAAGGGAACCAGAATTAGGCAGAGCATTCCCATTTCAAAGCTAGGTGTTTACTCTAAGTACAGAATGAAATGAAGTTACCTGCCTCCTTTCCCAGAAATTTAGCTGACACACTATGGGGACAAACACTCTGACACACAATGACCCGGGGGCAAGTGAAAAAGAAAGTGTGAAGTCAATTCAAGTCAAATAAACATATAAACAGAGATTACTGCTGAAAAAAATAAAACTGTAGACTCCCAGAATAACGGTTCTCAAAACTCCTCCAAAGCACTGACCAAGATCTGCTTGAGATCGACAACTTACCCCCTTATCCAATTAGATGGTATCATCTGTCCTCTGAGAGAGAGAAAAATTATTCAGAATTGACGCCAGTTTCTCCCCCAAGGAAACTGTGGCCATGCAACCAGCACGTGCCTTCAATGCAACTCAAGTGCTGATTTAAAAGGCTCCTTGAAAACTCAAGGTTCATTGAAGCAGGCAAAACAGGCCATTAGACTAGATCACATTCAATACAATTAGAGCTGCTCCACGTGAAGAGATAACAAAAACTTGACTTAAAGTTTAACTCAGATATCATGTCCCACAAATAAACTTAAGGAGCTTAAATGACACTATCCACCAAAATAAATAAGAATGGTTTTATTTGAAAAACTGCAGTCAGTTAAATAACCATGTTCAATCAGTAGTGCTCATGTTAATTCTCTAATTATTCTTATGAGTTGACTGAGTCATAAATTTCACAAGCCCACTTTTAAACTTAACTCTGATTACATAAATTTTAATTTTTTGACTTTAAAAGATGCACATTCCAAGAATACTAAAAGTATCTTTAATTATTATAATTTGTGTTCTCCAATTTCTCTCAATTCCAAGGGTACTGTAACAATGTATAAATCAAGTGAGAAATGTCCTAAGTGTCCACTGGAATGTGACAGACTCAAGGCTAAGAGCATTAGGACAAAGATATTAGGGACAGAATATTTATGAAATGACCTAGACTTAAATTAACAGAGAAGAACAAAATACCAACAAAACAAGCAAGTCCTTAATTCAAGAGTCTTTATATGGTAAAAGAAGATTCAATCTTAATTTAACAGGAGGTGGGGGGGGGCAGAGATTGAGGTAATGCCAGCCAAGTTTGTAGAGGCATCTAAAAAAAGCAACCAAAACCACGTCAGGTTAAAACTGAACTAGAGGAATGAAGACTGCCAGCTTCTTCTAACACTCAGTCTAGACCACACTCCTTCACTGAACTCAAACCAGTTTGAAACTTCCTAGATGGACAGAGATGTTGGTAGGAATGTGAAGTGGAGAATGGGTACAGCGGTTAGGAACCTAAAAGGACAGTAAGACTCTTCCCTATTTTCTTAAACCGAATTTCCCTTACAACAGACAACTTTTATTCTCCCCCCACAAAACAGAATGACAGGAGTTAAGAAAAGGAAGAATTCCTAGGTAAATAACACATGGAGCTCAAAGGTAAAAGTACAGAATGGGCACAATATACATATTTTATAAGCTATTGGATTCAACCATTAAAACATCCTGTAAAGCTTTTCCCAACTGCAAATAAAAAGCACAGGTAGTAACCAGAGGGGAGAGGGAGGGGGATTATGGGGGGAAAATGGGGAAGGGTCATCAAGGAACATGTTTGGAGGACACATGGACAAAGGGTTCAAGGGATGAGTTCAAGGGTGGGAGTTGGGGATGGGAGGATGGTCAGGGGGGGAAATGGAGACAACTGTACTTGAATAACAATTAAAAAAGAAAAAACACAGGTCATGCCAGGAGCAGGGGCTAGGTCAAGGTTGAGAGCAGATACTGTGGTTATCAACAACCTGATAGATAAGTGAGCCCCCGACACGCCTTGCCATTTCAAGGAGAAATTCCCGTGAAGATCCTGTCCCATTTCAGTCCCTTTTTCCAGTCTTCCTGAGAACTCAACCTTAATTCTAAAAATAATTTTACTTAATGGGTTACTCAATTAATTTACTTGTTAATTTCACTTTAACTACCATAAAACAAAAAGCAGAGCTTAAATCAAAAACAGCAAAGTAACAATTTAAACTACTATAGCTTTCCACTAAAACTCAAACTTTTTATACTTTCACAGTGTTAAAATCAACAAGTTCCACAGAACTTTCCTCTATCTAAGCCCCAAAGAGCTCTGCAGTGAGAGATAGCTGGTCTGCCTAGGAAACACATCCAGAATTCCTTCGAGCTTGTCTGTGCTAAATTTGCAGAAAGTTATTATTCACTTAAGATTCCACAGATGAAACCTACAGGCATAGCTAAAAAAAAGAAAAACAGGAAGAAAAAAAGGACTCTGTGGGGTCTCTGTGCAGGGCAAGGTTCAAGCAGCCCCACTCTGCTCTCCCTGTAGCCCATCACACCACCGCCAGCCCATTCCAGTCAAGGACAGCGGTGCTCCCTTTCTGCCATTGGTTTTTTTTTTTTTTAACCTCACAAAGTTAGAGCAGAGCGAACACAAAGGCTCAGTCAACTGGTACCCCGTCATCCAATTCCAAATAGGGCCTTTTGAATGTATCACCTCTTCTCCCAGAGCAAAAACTACCCTAAATAAGAAATGAACACAATGTTTATGGCAAATCTCTTTCTCAGACCTTAGGGAACATAATTGAGTGTTATTTTTAAAGGGTAATATCTGACTGATTTTTATCCCCATTTTTTTAGCACTTTAAATATCTGAATAAAAAATGCATGTGATTTAAGCCCCAAAACACATTACTCCTTATTAAGCTGTATTTGTGATTATATTTTTTGATAATCATTCTGCCCCAAGCAAGGAAAGTTGATATGCACTTGTGATTAAAAAAAATTAACATGGGGTTAGATGGTATTATGGTTGAAGTACACCATATGGCCAAAAATGATCAAAAATGTTCTTGAAAATAAAAACTGAGTGATTTTGTTTTGTGCTCTGTGTAACATCTTAAAGTCAGTGTTCTTCTCACATGCAAATTAGGGATGTTTTTAAATGACTCAGTTTAGTTGTTACCTCAGGATTAGAATAGAACTTAAAAAACTGGAGTATTTATACCTATCTACAAAACAGATTTTTTTTAAATCTAAAGATGCATGGTCATTCTATGGACATACACAGAGGTCTGAAAACTACCACCCACAGGCTGAATCCAGACTGCCATCTGTTTCAGCCCAGCCCAGGAGCTAAGAATGGTTTTGTTTTTTTAAAGTTGTTTTTTTGTTTTTAGTTTTTTTTTTAAGACATATATGCAACGGAGATCATGACCCACAAAGTCTAAAATATATACTAGCTGGCCCTTTAGAGCGAAGGTTTGCTAACCCATATACAAATGTAAAAGGGGAGAAGGATTTGTTTGGAGAAATTTAATGTATTCAGATAGGTTATATACCCTTAGTGCAGCACCTATCATAAACCAAAGTAACCAAAAGCTTGACCTAAAAACTGAAGCAGGAAAATAAAATGTTATCCAAAGAAAGGAAAAAAGGGGAATTGAAAATTGAAAGCCCTGGAAACAGTTAAGAACGCAGCATCCTGTAGGTCAAGGTCTCTCCACCTTGGCACTACTGATGTTTGCAGGTGGATACTTGTCATTGTTGGGGGCTAGACGTACATTACAAGATGTTTAGCTGCATCCCTGGCCTCTACCCACTAGATGCCAGTAGCGCCCTCCACCCAAGTTACGCCAACATGACTGTCTCCAAACACTGCCAAATGTCTCCTGATGGGCAAAATTACACCCTCCACCCTCCTGTTCCCCTGCCCCATTAAGGTTCACTGCTGTAGGTTACTGTCCTTTTGTTCCCACTTTCAATATTAGCAAGAGACACTATCCCCCAAGTAGGTTTCCTCTGTGCCTGTAAGAAAAAGAAAGAAAACCACAATAACAATAATAGCAAACCAGAGATCCTATGAATAACGGCATTAGACAGTGAACGTGAGAGCTCTAAGTTTAATAGCTGGGCACGAGAATGAGACCAGACTTACCTAAAACGCTGTGCCTGCTGAGCTAATGGTCCTGGATACCTTCTGTTTGGAGACTGGTACAGCTGGGAGAGGATGGCCTGATTGGTTTTTTGGCTTGGATTATTAGCAAACTTTACAGTGATTGGCTCTGTGGCACCAGGAGGTTTCTGGCCATTTAGGCCTTTGATAGCTTCTTCTGCCTCAATCCGCTTGTCAAATCGAATAAACCCCACACCCCTTGATATGCCTATGGTAGATTTGGGTAAGGATTTGGGAAAGAGAGAGTGGAAAGGGAAAGGAGGAAAAGAAGAAAGGATACATTAATTGTTCCTTCTCAAGACTGTGTTTTCACTCACATACAACATCTGCCACAAAACCTGAGGAGGAGGAAAGTTTTACCTCACTCAATTTGGCGGTAATTAAGTCTAGAGTCACAATTTTGTATTGTTTTAATGCCTGGAGTTACCTATACAAATAGAATACACGTTATCACATGCCTACCGATAAGCTAAGAAGAAGAGAAAGCGCACTGGTATGTCCATGTTTTCTCTCTCCCGCCTTCCCTCCCGCCAGCCAGCACACTCTCTTTAGTAATGTCAACAGTGCGCCCGAGTTGCATCTCTTAAATTATGGCACTGGACAAGCAGCTCGGAAATGATGGACCCAGTAGCTCCCTTTCTTGTAACAAGAGGAGCAGACCAGGCATTTGCCAGAAAAGCTATGAGAAAAATACATGCACAGTGATAGAAAGATTTACTTCAGCTACATTTTTAAATAAAATTTATCTTAATAAAATCATATAGAACACTGGTCCTTCAAGGAAAATGTCTGAAGATTTTCTGGTTCCCTGAAGCTTCTCCACTGCTTTAAACCAGTTATACTTTATTAGAGAAATAGTATTATATGGAGGAAAAAAGGTAAAAGAGGATCTAGAGTTTAAAAGTAAAATGGAGCCCTGGCTGGTGTAGCTCAGTGGATTGAGCACGGGCCTGCGAACCAGACAATCGCAGTTCGATTCCCAGTCAGGGCACATGCCAGGGTTGCAGGCCGGTTCCCTGCAGGCCAGTTCCCAGCAGGGGACGCACGAAAGGCAACCATACATTGATGTTTCTCTCCCTCTCTCCTTCCCTTCCCCTCTAAAGATAAATAAATAAAATCTTAAAAAAAAAAAAAAGTAAAATGGAAGTCAAACCTCAACACTTTCTGGCAGCCCTTCCGACTGTGCAATGCCCTTCCCGGCCTCATGTTATTTCCACTCTGAGAGACAAGAGTGGGAAAGCAGAGGGATGACCAAATACCTGCCCAGCTTCTGAGAAATGGTAAAGAGAAACCCAACTCATTCCATTTAATTAAGCTTCACCAGGCCAGTGAGGCTGACCACAGCCGGCCACCATGAGACAAGCAGTACAGGGAAACACTTTTTGGCAAGCCAATGGATACTAGCAGTACCAGCTTGGGACTAGTGGCTAGAAAAATCTGCACGATTCAAAGTATGTCACTGAAGACAAGAATGAAAAGTTTTTGAGAAAGAGGGGCTGAGAAAACACACGAGACCATCATGATTTATAGAAACCTGAAAAAGGAAAAATGGCCCACCTGTTTTATAATGAATATTGTGTAAACTCAATTGCTTAGGACTTTATTCTAAGATAGGTTAAGAAAACATTTTCACACATGTTCATCTCAGACAGCCCCTATCATCTACTTTATCTTTCTTATTTAAGCTATGTCCCTTGCACGCTCTTACCACCTGATGTCTGGATAATAAAATTACAGGATTTTTCATTTCAGGTAGAGGGAATAATTTTGCCTTGAAAGCCATGAAGTATAAAGATGAAATGATGACATGACAGAAAATACATTCTTTTAGTTATCTATAAGCTCCTGTTAAGAACCAGTAACCCTGGAGAACTTCACTCTTCCATGAGGAAAGCATCAGTAGCAATGAAATGGCCTCTACACAGCCCGAGTCACCTAAACCAGCAGTCCTCCAGTCTGAGCGTGCATCAGATACCCTGAAGGGACTGGTCATGTGCCACCCTCAGAATTCTATTCATCCAGTTTGGGGAGGGGTCTAGGTATTCCCATTTGTAACAGTGTTCCAGGAGAAGCTGCAGGTGCAGGGCCACACTGGAGAACCACTGCCTAACCCAGTGGGGCAAGGCAGGCCCACCTGGCACCTGAGTACTCAGGAGGGACTTGCAGTGCAGACAAGAACTTTCTGTAACACAGGTGACACCTACTCTCAATTCACTGAGTCCTCACTGAACAGCATGAATGATATGAACAAAATAAAAGGACGCTTTTGTTGATTTAAACAAATCTATGTGGATTTTTAGGCCCGTATTTCTATTTTATGTGATTAGCAGCCTGTGTGACTGTGAGCGAATATGTGAGGAAGATTACGAAGTGCAGCTAAAAAAGACAAGACCATATTTGTACATACCCGACTAGACTAAAATTTTCTCCATATGGCAAAACCTGTAGGCCATTCTCCCAAGCATGTACCTGACGGCAGGTACCACTCTCCACAGAACTCTTTCGTATGGTGCTTAGCCACCTATGAGTCTAATTAGCAGCACAGAGGAGCATAACATGGTTGCTTCTGATCAAATTCAGATCAATGAATTGATCTTCACTTGAAGAATTAAAAGCTTGGCCTGATTTCATTCTGTAGCTAATCCATCCCTTTTAAAAACATGACATGCTACCACATGATGCATCTCTAGTGGTGTTATTATAAAAAAGCGAGACAAAGAAGAAACACGAGAGAGAAAGGACCGGAAGAATGAACGAGGGGAGAGAGAAGGAAGGAACCCCAGGAGAGAGGAACACCTGCCTGTGTCCTCTCTAAACACCCCCAGAATCTCAGCAACTACTTGAGTGCACGGCACTACAGGTGACTGTTCCCCCAATAGAAAAATCCAAAACCAAACCTGTATTGCTAGCTTTTCTTCAAAGGCTTTACAGAAAAGCTTCCTTACATACAAAAGTTTTAGTAAACATACTTGTCTTCTCACTTCAGTGTTGTTAAAAGTTAACACTGGGCATGAAATAAACGCTTCGCATTCAAAATTTCAAACTCACGCATGCTTACACAACACGGCACAGACCTGGAAAACAGCCTTAACAGCAACCAGCAGGGTAGCTGGAGTGTGAGCCTCCCTTGGAGAACTGGGCTGCATGATGCTGCATTAAACCATGCTTTTTATAAAAATAAGAGTGTTTATTAGCACTTTATGAGGAGAATGGGGGCTGTATTCACGTGGCAGCTTGGAAATGAAGATTGTAACATCTGTAAATTTATTACAAGCCATGAAACAGGCTTCGAACCTACACCTTCGGGGTGGAAATGATTCAAGCTCCCTCACTACACTCCACAGTCTATTTTTATCCATGCATATTTATGAACAATGCCAGCAGAAAATTGCATTTTCTGGCCCACATATACCTTTGATGTGTTCTAGAGGCAAGACCGCTATATGGGAAGGCAGAATATTTCACAATCTGCCAGTCAGGAAGTGTGAAAGATGATCCAGAGCAGCTGCCTACTTACCAGTGACCTGGTCAACAAGAATACGAGAAGTAATGATGCGCCCATATTGTGAAAAAAGCTGTTCCAACTCCTTCTGAGTCATCGTTTTCGGGAGCCCACTGACGTACAAATTTGCATCTCTGATAGAGGCTGAACTTGGGCGAGCATAGGAAACCTGGAAAAGGAAAATAAAACATCTACTTAAACTCGATTCTCTTTTGAACCTCAAAGACTGCCTCAAGTTAGTTGTAGCTTTTCCGTAAGAAGTCCACAACAGACAATGAAGTTTTTAAAGCAAGCTCCACACTAACTGTTTTACTCAATGCTGGAGAAATTCTAAATAAATGGGAAATGCCATCCCTTTGGGTGGAGAGAAGGGAGTATTTATCCCTAGATTTGTAAGTTTCCAAACAGACCAAGGATTCAGGCAGCATGGTGCCACTGGTGGTTAACACACTGTTCTCAACGGGGCCCCTTATCCAGGGGCCTGGAACCAATCTGATGGTTAACTTGAAAGACTCTAAATTCATCTGCTATTTCTGTGACCTGTTTTTGAGAGTCTCCCATCTCTGGGGGTGGTGGTGCCATATTTCTAAACAATTTACCCTATTATTATTAAGTATGTTCTTTCACCCCTGAATTCCCACAGATTTAAATAGGTGAATGAGCTGTATCCCCTATCGTCCTGTCTACTGTCTTCTTTAAATTAAAGTCTTTTTAAAATTAAATTAGGATGACACCGGTTCCTAGGGTCACACAGGTTTCAGGTGTACACTTCCATGGTACATGATCTGTGGACTGCACTGTGTGCCCACCACCCAAAGTCAGACTGTCTTCTGTCATCACGTATTCGATCCACTTCACCCTTTCCTTCCCTGCCCCCGGACCTCCTCGGTAACCACTACCCTGCTCTCTGTGTCTGTGAGTTTCAGTTTTATATCCCCCATATCAGCAAAATCATATGGTTCTTAGCTCTTTTCTCACTGATTTATGTCACTTAGCATGCAGTGGAATAGTACTCAGCCATAAAAAGATAAAACCAGTCTTTTTAATCTTGATTACAAAAGATCTTAAGTCTCTTTACTGGCTTTACTTACTACCATTTTATGTACCCTTTCAAAAAGCCTCATATCTTGGAGATACAGTATTCAAGTCTACAGGGATTAAGACAAAAATGAGTCCAAGCATATTGGTTTATAATTAATATTCTTTATATAAACTCCATGCAGGAAGGAACTACAGCAGTCTCTCTCATCACTATATCCTCCCCTCAGGCTCTTGGCACATTCTAGAAGCTAAAATATTTGCTGAGTAAAGTCAACCCAATAGCCCATGGACCCTGCAGGTCCACATCATCTTACTGGACCACAGCATTTAAGGGACAGTTCAGAAGCTCGTCTAGATCTTGCCCAAACTGGAATCCACTGCTCTCTGCCTGTAATCTATCCTTGCCAATTCTCAGCTAGCTCTGAGTCTCGTGCTAATAGCTCTGAGTGCTATTCCTGACCTCATTCTCTATGGTGTAACTGTAAACTCTTCTGGAATACCTGCAAAGATAAAAATTTCACACAATATATCCCCTCTTCCAGATCGCTCATAAAAAAAGGCAAATGGGTCTCATCCTAGACTGACCTAATGGGGTACCATTTTATGATAACTTCTGCCTGCTCATTTCATCTATTAGTACCCACTTTTAATCTACTTCACTGCTTACTTTTTTAAAGTTTCAATTTAAACAGATTTTTATATGAAAAATGCAATATTCTCTCCATGGTTTAAATCATACCCACAGCTCTTTGTGTAAAGGCCTTTCTTTGCTTCATCTCTCCCTCAGGAAAAAAAAAAAAGTCAGGTTGTATACTACTTTATAAAGGTCTTGCCATCTTTCGCCCCTTCCGGAATAGTGTTAACATTAAATACACGCCATTTATGCAGTAAGTTTGCCTATTAACAAGTGAAAATCCACCTGTTGCACCAAAGGCTATACTTGGAAGTCACATTAGCGTTATCCTGTGACTAAAAGGATAACAGCCAGAAGGAACTGGGAACAGTGGTAGAGAGACGATAGATAAGTACTCATATGTGACTCTTTCTTCTCTGTGCCTAAACCCTTGAGAACAATGAACTTAAGGAAAAATGAACTAGGGGAACTATTGTAAGTGAAAAGTAAGAAATGAAGGGAAATTCCAAGTGATCAATAAAACAACTGAAATGGGATCTAGTTTGGAGACAGCTATAGACTAATAAAAACATAAAGCCAACGAATCATTTATGCATTCAGTGAATGTGTACACATGAGGAGCCAATTTCTTTTCTAAAAAAACAAAACAAAAAACGATTCTGTTATTTGGGCAAATAGTCCCACTGCTGGGACTCCCTTGGCATCTAATGGACTTCAGGGCTTTCCTACAGGGACAGCAGCTCTCAGTTCCAGACCTTGTGAATGAAGTGTTCCCTTTATAAAGATTCACTTCCCATGGGCCGCAGAATAAGCATCTATACATTCTCAAAGTTAGAAGGTCAACTTCCAATGACCAATACACCAGGCAACAGAAGCAGGCAACAGAACCATGAGCTCAAACACGGCATGAAAACAGCATCATAGCAGTTAAAGGTAACAGCTCTTTAACCAATGTGCCTGGCCTCAAAACTACTTTCAATCCGTTAAGGTCTGTGAACTTGGACAAATTCTTTAAGTCTATTACCTCACAACTGTGCCATCTTTACATGGTTATTAGGAATAATAAAAAATCTCTAGTGCACATAAAATGCTGAGCACAGAGCCTAAAAATCTAGGTGACTATATTACAAATATTATTTATCTCTACATGCATCTGAAAAATGCAGGTAAGAACCCAGACTGTTAAACTTGAGAGTAACCTGAGTCCATTACTGTGCTCTAGAATAATGTACTCATGCAGTGACATTTACTGCTTTGTGCATTTCAGAGGGGTGTGGGCGGAGTGTTTTAAAAGATATCCTAAAATATATTTAGGAAAACAGGTTTATATTTAGTGCTTATATAAAGCTTTGAAAACACACTTGGGTCAGTTATGTTATCTGCTTTTATTTTTCCTTCAATGTCCAATCTTCATTCAGTTCATACTGCTTCTTTAATTCCCAACCTCTATTGATTACATTTTCTAATTTTTCTGTACACTTGATGCATGTAGGGCCCTGATCTTGAAGAGACTGCCCCTCCCGGGAATAGCTAATTCCTGGAGACTGTAAGTGACTCATCTGCCAGCCCACCTCTGACACACACACCAGCCAGTCCAGAGCCCACACTGCTATCTACTTCACCTAACTCCCACATAACGAACCCACACGTCCACTGCCCTAAACCACTCCAGGGCTAGGTATCAGACAACCGGGGACCTCCCCTATAGCCCAGAGCCCTCCAAAACTATTCAAAACAGCTAATGGTCAAATTACTCACCATACTCTACCCTGCGCCTCCTCCTTTTCTTCCCCAAAGAAAAGGAACCCCCGAACAAAGGGTCCGGGCCAGGCCCTGCCCTCTCCCCACCAACTCCTGACCATCCCTGGTGCTTCTCCACGTGGCCCTGCACGGAGGGCTGTGGCTCCTGTTGCTAGAGATTCATGAGTATAAACTTCCTCCTTCCGAACAATCATTTCCATGTCTGCATCTCTTACCAGACCTGATTAAGACAAATCCTGGGTACAGCCATATCACGAGGGCTCCAAGAACCAGTAACAAGTCTTCTAAAAACAGTGTTTCTCATTAACTTTGTCAACGAACTGGTTCCCATCACCACAGACAGGACAAAGGTACTAAATTGTAGGTAAACTCACAGAGGACAAACATATTTCCATTTGCCTTATACTCAGAGGCTTTTAAGGCTTCATTTGAAAGGCATTTTCACATACAACGTTTTGTCTGTGCCTCACAACAGCACTGTGAGGTAGGAGGTCACGCCTTAAGCTTTCTATTGCTGGGGAAACAGACAAGGTAAATAACATGCCTAAGTAATATACACAGAGTGTTGAACTCTTCATTCAAATTCTGATCTTCTGACTCCACGTTCTCTCTAGTCCAGTTTTTCTGCCACAGTACCGCCCAACAGTAACAGCCAGCTTAGCAGTGCGTTTGTTCTGAGAGTTTAGAAAAATTAAAATGCCTCTGGGTTTTTTTTTCCCTTAAACACACACACAGAATGAAATGAGCACAGCAAAAAACAAAATGGTACTAGAAATTATGTCAGCCAAAAGTTATTTTATTTTATTTTATTTTATTTTTTTAAAAAGTCACTTTTCCCAAGAAAAGGGTGAGTAACCTCTAATTGTGATTAACTAGAGAAACTGCACATCTTTATTAGAATTTTGAAATTACTTTTATTACTTTCTAACTTTCAGAATGTAATTACGTGAGTAATGCACCACCCCGCTCCGCCCCTCCCACTTCCTCCAAAACTTGTAAAGGCAGCTGCCCCTCTCCTAGACCACCATCCTGTGCCTCATCCCTGCAACTGTACTGATCTGTGATCAAAGCAGCTCCCTTTCCCTTGCTCTATTCCAGGGTATCTCTGTCACCAGCATCCTCCCTTCCAGGAAAGTATTTCTTTTTCTTCTTCTTCCACTTTGAATAATTATAAACAGAAAAAAGTACTAAGACCAAAGTAGGAAAAAGACTTGCAGTAGAATAAGAACTTGCACCTTTGGAGATCCAAATACGTTTCCAGACCAAATTTTGCATCTGGCATTTACAAGCAATCTTCAGCGTTCTGATTTTTTTCTGTGGATTTGGAGCACATACTGATGCCTTGCTTTAGTACTCACTTAGAGAACCACTTTTGGACTATTAAGCCTCCAAATATTAAGTCTATCTCTGAGTGGTTCTTCAAGACTAAAGTCCCTTGGAGAAGACTCAAGAGATGGCTGTTTTACATGAATTCTGTATTAGTAATACTTTAGTACAACGAAACTCCAGCATATGTCCCAGTGGGGTCAAAATAGCTACTCCTTCACCAAGTGCAAGCTGTTCTCCAACCAACAACATTCTCTGTATTAATAGATGGGTTTGAATTTTAAATTTTCATTGCCATTTAAACAGGTGAATATTTAATGCCTGAAAGCAAGGTTATGAAATGTCAAAACTACTAAGTGAAGGATCTAATTTAAGAGGCAGCAAGAGAGTCTGCAATTTAAATATTT